CTGCTGTCACCCATTGTTTGTTCTCGGCATTTGATGTGGTTTATTACTCAGAACCAGAGCTAATACATATTCAGCATTCATGTTCTGTACTTTGGAGAAAGGACAAGTGATTCAGTGCCAGATTTAACTGTCTAACCCTGGGCTGGAGGAGGAGCAGGTGGCCAGAGAACAACACTTTCGATCAGGAAGCTCTGTGGTGTCTCTTGGTGCTTGAGGCATAACTGGAGCTTCAGCTATAGTCTCTTGTCATAGAATCCTGGAATGGTTTGGGTTGGAAGGACCTTAAAGCTCATCCAGTTTCCCCTTGCCATGGGCAGGGACACCTTCCACTAGCCCAGGTTGCTCCAAGCCCCATCCAACCTGGCCTGGAACACTCCCAGGGATGGAGCAGCCACAGCTTCTCTGAGCAACCAGTGCCAGTGTCTCAGCACCTCACAGGGAGGAATTCCTTCCCAATGTCTAACCCAAATTTCCCCTCTTTCACTCTGAACCCATATCCCCTTGTCCTGTCCCTCCAGTTCCTGATGGAAAGTCCCTTAGGCTTCCTTGTAGGCCCTTCAGCTCCTGGAAGGCTCCTGTGAGGTCTCCACACAACCTTCTCTTCTCCAGGCTGAACAGCCCCAACTTTCTCAGCCAGCTTTAAACAGGAAAAAAATCTGTCCTGGCAATTAGTAAGGATTTTAATGGAAGTGTTGGTAGTGCTGGAGTTAATAGGGAAAGGAAATGCAGGCCCAGAAGTTGGGAATCATCAGCTGTTTATATAGTGTGACCAGTTTGCTTATTTTTTCACACTGGAGTGTTGTTGTTAGTAAGTCATTACCTACTTGTCCCATCCACCTTTGTCATGGAGTTGTATTCCTTTAGGCAATGCCTTTGGATCCCTCTGGACATGGCTGCAGAGCAGGAACCTGTCTGGAGGCTGTGGATGCTGACAGAGGAGGCTTTGGGTTCTTTGCCACATCCTTGCAAAAAGAACAACTCTTTTGGTTTCTCTGGGATACCTTTATTCATCAGGAACTCTGTGACCTGCCTCAGCTAGTTACACACACAGGGACTGAGACACAGCAAACTGTCCAGTGCTTCTCCCACATTTGAGAGCTTTGGATAAAAATTGTGATTTTTTTTGTGAAAATTAGGATTATTGATCTCTTAACCGATGAGAATCTATCCCAAGGGAGCACTGGGAGCCTTACACTGATCAGACATATTTCCTAAGTGTGTTCCAGAGCTTCCACAGGAAGATACAACATATAATTGTCCTTTTTAAACCTTGTCCTTCTGTATTTCCACCTCACAGGAGCAGCCTGAGATGCTGATTTCTATAGGAATAACCCTTGTGAGTGATGGGAATAAGTCTTTGTTCCTTGTAGGTACAGGAGAAGTTTATGTTGGATTGGACTTGATGATCTTTGAGGTCTCTTCCAACCCAGTTGATTCTATGATTCTATGATGATGTTTTGTAATCTGTAGAAGGAAATCAAGAGGCAGGTCAGTGATTTTAAGGGTTGTCTCACTGTGAGTATCACTAAATACCCATGACCAGTGAGGATTCATGTCTGAGCTTCATTTCTTCACCTTTAGGCATTTAGGAATATTGATAATGTCATTTTACATCCTTTTGGTGCATTTGTTTCCTGAGATACTTCACTGTGCCTAAGCTGAGCCTTTTTTTTTCACTCCTGTGCTTTGTTTTACCTGCAGATCATGTGGTTAAAGTGAAAGGTGAATACAGTGAAAGAGAGGAGAGTGCTCTGAACTCAGAGCCCATGGAAAACCCTGAAGAATCCGAACTGCCTTACAGCTACCCCAGAGAATATTCCGAGTATGAGAGCATTAAGCTGGAGAGACACTCGGGGGCCTATGACGCCGCCAGGCCAGCTAGTGGGAAGATGAACTGTGATATCTGTGGATTAGCCTGCATTAGCCTCAATGTCTTGATGGTTCATAAGCGTAGCCACACTGGTAAATATCCCTCTGTTGTTCTTGTCAGAGCTGGAGACTGAAAGGATAATCACTGCCAATCTAGACTAGCTGTTTCCAAAAGGACACCAAAATGAGGCTTTCCTTGGTCTGTCCTTCAGGCCACATGTGATCTCTAGCAAGTTAGTCACTGTTCTGTGCCTCACTTTACCCACCTTGCTTCTTATCTGGCTTGGATGCTAGTAAAAGCACATTTGTGAGGCATTGTAAGGACTTTGGATGAAAGGCACTATGGAATTGCAGCATTTCAGGCACAAAACTCCACTCACATTGGGTTTGTGCTGCCATTTCCAGCTTGTGTATGTATATTTCTGTGCTGTACTTTGGCAACAAACCAATGAGCATCTGAAGTTCCAACCTGCAGTCAGATAAGACCTTTTTTTTTATTTCTTCTTCTATAAATTGCTAACTTGTTGGAATCAGCCTCCTCCAGAGCACTTCTTTCCATGGAAGAACTCTGCACTGCTTTCCATAGCCACACACACGTTCCAGCAGCTCTGACACCAGCACTGCACCTCCCTCCCACTGAAATCACACTCTGTGTGTTCCTGTAGAAAGAAATCGATCCCATAGCTCATTCTTTCCTCTTCCCAAGAGGCAGAGGACAGCCTGGTACCCACATAACCATTAAATATCCTTTTCTGTATGTCATTTTAAGGTGAACGACCATTCCAGTGTAATCAGTGCGGAGCTTCCTTTACTCAGAAGGGAAACCTCCTCCGCCACATTAAACTCCACACAGGGGAAAAGCCCTTTAAGTGCCACCTGTGCAGTTATGCCTGCCAGAGGAGGGATGCGCTCACGGGGCACTTACGGACCCACTCTGGTAAGTGCCTGCACAGACACTTCAGGTGTTTGGGATGTGTGGAAAACAGTCAGCAAGGTTTGCTCAGCTTGTTAAGATGGCACACAGCAGCGACCACTCACTGGATGGGTGGAACTGACTCCACTCGCTGTGCTGGTGGAACTGATTGGGATGTGGCTCTGCTCTGTGCAGAGAGAGGGGACAGGGGAACACGTGTCACAGCCTCCAAAACTGCTTGCACAAAGCATCTCCATGGTATTCCCACACTTAGGTTGGAAAAGACCTCCGAGATCATCCAGTGCAACCTTTGATCACCACTTTGTCAGCTCACTGTTCAGAGGAGTGGAGCTGGCTGTGCCAGCAAGCTCTGAAGTTGAGGAGAGTATGAGACATGCTTTGCTGGGAGTTCCTTCCATCCCATCCTGAGCTCCAGGATCACAACCTCGGGCAGCATGACCCTATGACCAGTTCAGCCCTCGCTGTGGTGTAGTGCCTTTCATCTGAATCTCTTAGCATGCTCAGCAGAAGGTTCTTCTCAAGCCTGGCAGGGTGTTCTGCCCATTTGCAGATGGGGAAATGGAGGCACAGAGCTGAGGTGACTTGAATAACCAGCCAGGTACAAACTGATCTGAGCTCCCCCAGTTCTGCAGGAAGCAGGTTGTGCTTGCCCTTGGATTTGTGTATGTCCTGTGTTCCACAGGGGCCCAGAGAGAAAACACTGATTCTAAATGACAGATCTTAGCTCTGCACTGCACTGCACAGAAAACAAGAACCTCACAAAGAATCAGAATCTAAAATGAGCTAATCTGCCATGGACAAATGATTCCAGCAGAGTAGTGGTGACTGTCCCACACCAGCACAATGCTAAAACCTTCAAGCACATCGTGGGGTTACTACTGTGACCGAAGTGTTTCAAGGTGGTTTATCAAACAGCACAAAGAAAATTTCCTTGAGTGAATCCCACAGATAACTGAGCACTCAGTGCAGGAGGGAGCAGAGTCTTCCTGCACACTGCCCAGTGCAAAGCTGGGGATGTTTGCAGTGGACAGGGCTGCTATTTTGCCTGGGTGTGTTCATAGAATCATGGAACCATGGAATGATTTGGGTTAGAAGGGACCTTAAAGCTCATCCAGTTCCATGGGCAGGGACACCTTCCACTAGCTCAGGTTGCTCCAAGCCCCATCCAACTTGGCCTGGAACACTCCCAGGGATGGAGCAGCCACAGCTGCTCTGGGCAACCTGTGCCAGTGCCTCAGCACCCTCACAGGAAGGAATTTCTTCTCAATATCTAATTTTAGAGGATGTCTGTTCCCAAAATAGTAAAGGGAGAATTTAGTCCTTGTGTATGAGGCACTGGGTTGGAATCTTGAGTTTCAAACCTGTTTGCTTTAGCTTAAATGAATTAGGAACATAATTCCCTCTACAACAAACGCCTTTGGAAATTAAATCAGCCTCACATATGGATTTGGTTTGGTTTAACGTCATCAGTTTGATGAAATCCTTGAGGAATTCTGCACAGACAGGTCCTGGGTCAGGCATTCAGGGCTGTGGCAGTCCTGGTTTGCTCCTGTTGGCCTTCCCTAGGGAAGTTACTCCAAGGCAAGCTGTCAGCAGGGCTCTGGGAACAGTGTCTCATCTAAATCCTCCTCTTTGCTGGTGCTGAGCTTAGGGGATGAGGAGGAACTTTGTGCCTGGTGCTTCCACCCCGTGCCATCCTTAGCTTGAGGCGATTAAACTCCGCAGGAGTTTGGAGCTGCAGGAGCTGAACACAGGCTGTGGGAGCTGTGTGCTGAATGTCAGCAGACAGAGTTCTAGTGGTCTCCTGTGCTTGTTTTAATGGTTTTCCTGATTGTTTTTCCAGTGGAGAAGCCATACAAGTGTGAGTTCTGTGGCAGGAGCTACAAGCAGAGGAGCTCTCTGGAGGAGCACAAGGAGCGGTGCCGGACGTATCTGCAGAGCTCTGGCATGTGTGAACCTGGTGAGTTTATCACAGCAGTGGTTTGGGGTTTTGGGTATATGACAGGCCTTGAAAAAGGGCATCTGGTGAGCTGCTAACCCACAGCCTGAGAGCAGCTCTTCCTACACCCATTTGCAGTCACCTGGGGGGCTGTGACCTTGCAGAGGGGCTGGTTGAGCACAGCCCTCAGGCAGGTACTGAGAGTGCTGTTGCTTAGTCCAGTTACTTCAAATAAAGCATCTAAAATACCCAACATTTCCATAGGTGATGCTCCCAGGGAGTTAATTTTTTCCCACATTGATGCTATCATGTGGTCGATTTTATGGGCTGAGCTGTTGACAACAGTTGTTGGTATCTTTGTTTGAGGATTCCTTTCCTTTGGAATAAGAGCTGTTGGGCAGAATCAGAATTTGCAGGAGTTTTAGTGGCCTGGATCTAGGGCATGGAGATGGGATGGTACCCCAAAAATCACTGACAGAGCAGCTCAGGAGGGAGTGAGAGCTAAGGAAGTGCTTAGAGTATAGAGTTGCCTTCGGGAAAGGATGAAGGTAAAACAGATCAAAACATGTTTTTTTCTTATTTCCCTTTTTGCAGTCTCAGTGCTGCAGTTCCAAAACACCTTGGTGAAAAATAACTGCCAAAATCTTTGACCCTGTTTCACCTGAGTCAGTCAAACCCTAAAAGCTGTGTGATTTCAACCCCACAACACACCAGTAAGTCAGGAGAGAATTGTTTTTCCCATACAGTCAGGTTCAGACTTCAGGTTCCCTTTCTTCTGCTATGCAGTCTTTAAAAAACCCACCCAAACAATGGAATCATGGATTCACACACTGGTTTGGGTTGGAAGGACCTTAAAGCTCACCCAGTTCCATGGGCAGGGACACCTTCCACTAGCTCAGGTTGCTCCAAGCCTCATCCAACCTGACCTGGAACAATCCCAGGGATGGAGCAGCCACGGCTTATTCACAGATGGAGATGGAGAGATCATGGAATCATGGATGGTTTGGGTTGGAACGACCTTAAATCTCATCCAGTCCCCCTCCTGCCATGGGCAGGGACACCTTCCACCAGCCCAGGTTGCTCCAAGCCCCATCCAACCTGGCCTGGAACACTCCCAGGGATGGAGCAGCCACAGCTGCTCTGGGCAACCTGTGCCAGTGTCTCAGCACCTCACAGGGAGGAATTCCTTCCTAATAACTCTGACAGTAAGGACAAAATCCTGCAGGAATCATCACAATCCAGGCCTGAAAAACAGTGTGGAGAGCAACTGTTGTGTGATAATGTGGGACAGGAGTCCTCACCCTGAGCAGAGTGAGCAGGTTGGTGTTTCAGGCTTTATGACACATGCACACATGAAACCTCCCTAAAGAACAATGATTTAACAGAGGTTTTTATAATTTTTGGGGGGTTCTCTTCCTGCATGTGTTTTAGAGCATTAGTAAAAGTAACTGGTTATCAGCACATCAGCAAGTTTGGGTTTCGTGAGAACCATTACACATTGTGCCTGTGGTTTGTGTTACAGTACACACTCCCATGATGGCAATCACCCCCAGATGTCCACCCTGTGCTAATGCAAAACATGAGTCCTGCTGCAGCTTTCTGCCTCCAAAGGATTCCCCTGTTTCAGGTGCATTCAGAAAAGCAGCATTTCACTCCTCATCCCAAGCCTGCTGTGCAGCCCTGGCAGCAGTGCCACAGTGAGCCTGAACTGGTCACAGGGAAGGCAAAGTTCCCAGTGTGGCATGAGGTGGCTGCTCCCTCTGCCCTGGAGACCTTCACACTTGTACAAACACTGCAGTGTTTTAGAGCAGTAGCACTCGAATGAATGATGGGAACTCCTGGGGCATTTCCATCCATTTCCCTGGTACCAGCAGGATGTTGGGTGACAGAACAGGGACAGGGAAGGCTGGAAATGCCCTCAGGAGGTCATTAGAACGTTTTGGTTATTTTTTCCCTAAGTGTAGCATTTTGCACTTGTGCTTAGCAAACACTCTCTCTTTCCATTTCTGACCCTTTTTCCTACTTCTCTGCATCACTTGGAGTTTGAAATCCTTCCAGTGTTCTCAGCCTGAGCTGCTGGAAGGTGTCCCTGCCCATGGCAAGAGTTGGAACTGGAGGATCTTTAAGGTTCCTTCCAACCCAAACCATTCCAAAGCATCTTCAAGTGCAAATATGCTTTACATCCTTTTTTTAAATCCAGAACTGTAAAGTCCTAAGCATCAGGACCATACTGACCATTGTAGCTGCTCTTTAGCACCAAGTTTGCACCTTCCAAATGTGGAAATGTTTCTAAAAGAAAGGTTTTATGTAACAACACTGTTGGGGCTTTGCCCCTGATAACCATCTCTGCTCACATTGTTCTCATTGCACAATCCCCCACCTCTGCTCCACTCTCCATCCTCGAGTGACCACACCGAGATGCTACAGGAAGCAATGCCTCTAATTTCAGCTCTGCTCTCTACTTCAGGGGTTTGCTAACCATAGCTGCACGTTCTAAAAATTCTGCTCACATCTACAGTGTGGCAGAAACCACACTATGGAAACAGCTCAGTGCAGGGGGAGTGGTGTGTGTGCTCGGGGCTGGGACAGCATCCGCTCTCTCTACAGCTGCAGGGGGACATGGTGGCCCAGAGAGGGATGTCCCATCCCTGGGAATGTTCCAGGCCAGATTGGACAGGTTTTGAAACAACCTGGGCTGGTGGAAAGTGTCTCTGCCCATGGCAGGGGTTGGAACTGGATGAGCTTTGAGCTCCTTCCAGCCCAAACCACTCTGTGATTCCATGACACTGTTTGGAGAGGTTATCACCACCCAGAGGTCACTAAAGAGCATAAATAGTAGTTTATAATGGATTAATCACATTGGACGAAAATTGTCTTCTGGAAGTGTTTTATAAGGACAGGCTCACACCTGAAATGTGCACAGAGGCAGCAGAGCTGGGAGCACCTGGAGACACTGCAGGGAGGATCAGGGAAGACCATCCTCATCCTTTGTCCTGGCTAAGCAGGAGATGGTGCTCCCAGGTTTAATAGTGGCTGAGGACACTGGAACTCAACCCCATCCTGCTACCATATAAAATTCCATGCTTAGGAGCTCAACTTCCCATGTAATTCCAGAGTCAGTGACCAGGTCTGACTGAGAGGGATGAGGGTGGTGGATTTGGGCTGCAGTTCCTTTCAGCATCCTTAGATTTTAAGTTGCTTTCTGCCCCTGCAGCTGAGCCATCAGAGCCCTGAGCCTGCAGGGTGTCCCAGGCTGCAGTAGCCTCAGTGCTCTGAAAATCTGGATTTCCTGTATTTGGTTTTGCTCAGTGTAACTCTGAGCAAAGCACTTGCCCATTTCTGTCAGTCCAGCCTGAATTTTGTTTTTAGATACAAGTCACAGTGAGACAATTAGTTCTTGAAGTCACAATGTGCAGTGGAATCACCCAGTGGGAGGGTAATGAAGAGGGTGTGATTGCTTCTCTCTGTATAGAGAGTTTTGAGTGAGTAAAACAATGTTTCCTAAATGCTAAATATTATTCTTGGATTGTTTAAGAAGTGGTCCAGAAGGAAAAGGTGGATGAGATAATTTTCAGGTAGTCTCTATGCAGAGAGCAGAGTTGTGGGCGAGAACCAGTGGAACCACCTGTGTCTCACTGGGAGCAGACACTGCTTCCCTAAGGCTTTGTGAAGGTGTCATCAGAGACCTTTTGTGGCCCATAAACAGACACTATTGCAGTTCTTTAGGAGCTTTTGGAGCATGAGAGTTAAACAGGAGCCCTGATTCAAAATCCCATCAGACTGATCTCTGCTCTCTGTGGTCAGTGGCAGGACACAGGGAACAGCTGGAGATGTGTCAGGGAGGGTTAGGTGGACATCAGGACAAGATTCTTCTCCCAGAGGTGTTTGAGCACTGAACAGGGTTAGGTTGGAGATTAGGACAAGGTTCTTCCCCCAGAGGTGTTTGGGCACTGAACAGGGTTAGGTTGGAGATTAGGACAAGGTTCTTCCCCCAGAGGTGTTTGGGCACTGAACAGGGTTAGGTTGGAGATTAGGACAAGGTTCTTCCCCCAGAGGTGTTTGGGCACTGAACAGCTCCCCAGGGCAGTGGGCACAGCCCCAAGGCTGACAGAGCTCCAGGAGAGTTTGGCCAATGCTCTCAAACACGTGGTGCATTGTTGGGGTGTCCTGGGCAGGACAGGAGTTGGATAATGGTCCTTGTGCATCCCTTCCAGCTCAGGATGTTCTATGGTTCTATGATTACTCCTCAAGACTTAACTAGAGCTTCTGGCCCAACCCCAAGCAGGTGATTACTCTCTGCCTATCTGAATTCCCCTTGGAGCATCACTGTAACCTGATTTGCCTCACTCCACGCAGACTGTTACGTAGTGTCTTGGTATTTGCTGCAGGAGGCAGGGCTGAATGTCTTTATGTGAGACCCCAAACATCCTGGAGTGATTTAAGATACCAACAGCCTGGAAGAGCAGTGTGTTTTTGCCTCCCAGGGCCTGTGCCTGCCTTCCCCAGCTCTGGCTGTCACGTATGCCATGGGGTTACAGGGCTGGGGCTGTTCTCCCATCCCTCCTGACTCATACTCAGAGCCAGTGTTTGTGGCACCAGGTACCTCTGAAACACTTTGCATTTTCAAACTGCTGAACAAACACGAACAAATAGTTCTGGCTGAGGTTTGGTGAGTCATGGTTTGTGCTGACTGAAACTCTGCGATAGCAGGAGCAGCACTAGCAAACAGGGATGGAGGGACAGACCGAGGTGCTCAGGGAAAGGCTGCACAGGGCTGGGAGGATGAGAGTGCACTTTCAGCACTTGCTGCACTTGGCAAACAGCACTTTGAGTCTAATACTTGATAACTCTGTGCTGAGCAGGACTGAAGTGATACTAAAGCGCTCCTATCACTTTCCTCTGGTGTTTCTTCTCTCTTACATACCTTATGCTTCAGATTCTCAGGGACATTGCAGCCTTCAGTGCCTTAAGGGACTTTTCATATGGGCAGATAGTGCCAGGGCAAGGGGGAATGGCTCAGACTGCCAGAGGGCTGGGGTAGGTGAGATATTAGAAGGAAAGTCTTCCCTGTGAAGTGCTGAGGCTCTGGCACAAGCTGCCCAGAGAAAGCTGTGGCTGCTCAATCCCTGCAAGTGTTCCAGGCCTTGGAGCAAGCTGAGCTAGTGTAACATGTCCCTTCCATTCAGTCCTCAGGAGGTGTGACTGGATGAGTTTTAATATCCCTTCCCACCCAAACCATTCCATGCTCCCATGATTCCATATCCAGCTGTGTCAGTGTATGCACAGCACCACAGCAGCCCAGGACTCTTTCACAGTGAGCTCCAACCTTTTGTGTTCCCTTGGGGAAGTCAATCTCCCTTCCTTGTCCTCGCTTTGTAGATCCCAACTCCTGGAAGCGTGGGAAGGCTCTTAAGACATGTCCTGTTGCCACCACAGTAGTTCCTGACCCTGGAACTCTCAGTAGTGAGTTCAGTCCTCAACAATAGTAGTTTTCAAATCTCAAAGTCCCACCACAGACATGTGCTGCTGAGGCATGAGCAGGGCCTGGGGGAAGCCACAGCAGTTACGATCAGTATTCGCGTGGTGGTAGCGATATGAGGTGGCAGCTCTCCAGCTCAAGGCCTCTGCAGCCTCCAGGAGCTGAGAGCAAGCACAGCCTCTGTGCACTGCTGGGCACTGCTCAGCTCAGGGAGCTCTGGAAAATGGGAAGAACTTCCAGTTGCCCAGTCCCAAGGGAGAAATCGCAGGGCACGGTGAGTTCTCCTAGAATTGCACATTCTGGAGGTTGTAATGAGCTGGAAAGCTCTGGGGAGAAAACACTCAGAGTTGGGTTTAACTGTAGCATTTTAGGGGGAAAAAAAGGAGTTATAAGACCACTGAAAAAAAAGGTGAGTTAGAAGTGAACTTTGAAAGTCGTATTGTTTTGGTTTTAATGCAACACTGACATATTTCATGCAAGTTTCTGAGTGATCAGCTAAGACATTTCTGACTGATCTCTAAAACTGCAGTAAGAGCACAGAGTGTCCTCTCCTGCCCTGGGTGAGTGCAGGTGTCAGCCAGCCCTGCTCAGAGTAAAAAAGAAAGGCCAGCAGAGCTTCTGCCTCCATCTGCACTGCAACCAACCAACCTTCCAGCGTGTTCATTCACTTCCTCCCGCGCTCAGCACTGCTGCTGTCTATGGTCTGTGCTCCCCGAGCCAGCTCAGGGCTCTGCTGCTCCCACTGACCACAGCTGGTGCCCAGAGAGCAGGAACCACAAAACAGCTTCACATCACATCTCCAAACTGTTTCCTCCACTCACACTCGGAGATTAAACCACTCAGCTCTTCCTTTTTTGTCTTTTTTTTTTTCCTTTTCACCTACGTGTTGTGTTTGGTTTTTTTTTCTTCTCTTTTTCCTTCCTTTTCACATTTTCCAACGTAGCCAGCGTGGAGGCAAGGCACATCAAGGCAGAGATGGGGACTGAAAGAGCCCTTGTGCTGGACAGGCTAGCGAGCAACGTGGCAAAGAGAAAAAGCTCAATGCCTCAGAAATTTATTGGTAAGAACAAAAACCCTTTTCATCCTCAGCACTTCAATACGTGTGAGTGGCTAACCTCGAGTACAATGCTGCTGTAAAGATCCTGCTCAAGCTCAGCATCTAATAGCAAATAACTTGAGTATTCTGATGGATTTTAATGATTTGTTCTAGGGGGTTGGTTAAAATTGAAAGAGTTTCTCCTGTTCGTGCTTAAACTTGGGTGGAAAATACTGTTGGGCTTTGTGTTTGTTGATGTAGGAGATTTATAAGGATATTTTATGAGCTTTCTGTACCTGTGCTTTTGAAATGTTCTCTGCCAGGATATAGAACAGGAAGGTTAAGTCGGTTCAGAGCTCAGAGCTCTTTGCAGTCAGCAGGAGCTGAAGATTCCTGCAGGATTCATGTGTGGAGTAAGGCCTGAAGACAGAAAATTATTGGATTTCTGTTATTTATCCTCCTAAATTTGACTATGATTAAGAAATATCTAACCCTTTCTCGTGGATATTTAAGCAACAAGATGTTTTTAGGGCATTTTCTCTGCACTTAATTGTACCTGATCAGAGCTTTGCACGTTGGGGATCTCGTTGGGCAGGTTTTGTGCTCCAGCCTGACCTTCCTGGCCAGGCTCAGTTCATTAACCTGCCTTTAGAGAAAGCAAAGTGCACCTCTGTGTCCCGAGGAAAGCCCTGAGTCAGCACTTATGTAAGATTGGTGCTGGTGAAGCTTTATTTGTGCTGTTTGTAAGGTTATATAAGGTACCAAGGGCTTTTTTTGGCTTGAGACAAACTTCACCTTCCGCGTGGGCCCCACGTGGGGTTGGTGGTCACAGCGTGGGGAGGGCTGGGGCTGCAGGGAGGGCTCAGCTGCTGCACAAACCCACCTGCCAGGAGAGCCAGGTGTGCTCTGGATCCATCCCCACAGGAAACCACCTCCATCTCCGAAGGTAATGTAGCTCTTGGTGGGTTTGGTGGGTGGCTCTGGGCTTTCATCTGCGAAAACTGATCTCTTTTAGTGATATGTTTTATCTCAGTGTGGCTTTCTAAAGGTCACCTAGTCACACAGACACAGCAGCACACTCCATCCCAGTGCCTTTGAATCATAGAATCAGCCAGGTTGGAA